AACAAGTGCTACTTTGGGCTGAGTAGGCAATTGAGAAGTAAAGTCCTCTCTCGTCGTACAAAGATCACACTCTATAAGTCACTCATCATGCCTGTGCTGGTGTATGGCGCGGAAGCATGGACAATGAAAGCATCTGATGAGGCGGCTCTTGGAGTTTTCGAGAGAAAGATTCTGCGAAAGATTTACGGACCTTTACGCGTTGGTGATGGCGAATATCGCAGACGATTTAACGATGAGCTGTATGAGCTTTACAACGATATAGACATAGTGCAGCGAATTAAAATTCAGCGGCTCCGCTGGCTTGGCCATGTCGTTCGGATGGACAGAAACGCTCCTGCTCTGAAAATATTCAACGCGGGCCGCGATGCTGGTAACAGAGGAAGAGGAAGGCCTCCTCTGCGTTGGAAAGACCAGGTGGAGAAGGGCATTCCAATTGGCGTCAGTTAGCACAGAAGAGAAATGACTGGCGTGCTGTTTTGGACTCGGCCAAAATCGCTTAGGCAGTTACAGCGCCAATAAAGAAGAAGAAGAATAGGAAACAATATTTTATTTGATCTTAACATAACATTTGATTATAAAAGCAGACGACTGTTAACAGACAATACGAGTTTACCTATTTACTTTAATGAGGAGGAAGAAATATCTTTGGATAATTATTTGAAAAACGAGATGGAACAAGTAAGTATTTATTTGTGAAGAGGAAAAAAAAGAATATTGTTTAGCCAATTTGTTTTCTGAACACCTAAATTCAAGAGACAAAGAAATATTTCGAACAGTTTTAAACAAATATACTGATCTTTTTTATAAAGAGGTTGAAAATTTGTCGTTTACATGTGAAATAAAACACCGCATAATAACTAAACCGGATATTACAATATACAGCAAACTCTACAGATATCCCACTATATATCGTGCTGAAGTTGATAGGCAAATCAAAGACATGCTGAAGGAAGGGATAATAGCACATAGCAATAGTCCATACAACTCCCCTTTGTGGGTTGTGCCTAAAAAACTGGATAACAGCGGTAAGCCGAAATGGCTAGTTGTTATCGATTATCGTAGATTAAATTACCAAACAGTTGATGACCGATTTCCTATTACGAATATGCAGGACATATTCGATAAATTAGGTAAATGCAATTATTTCAGTACTCTTGACCTTGCGAAAGGATACCATCAAATTGAAGTTCACCCTGAGGATAGACCAAAGACTGCATTCTCAACAGCAGACGGTCGCTATGAATTTAATCGAATGCCCTTTGGTTTAAAACACAGCCCCTGCCACGTTTCAAAGGCTTATAAATTATGTATTGAGAGAATACATAAACAGGATATGCGTCGTCTACTTAGATGATATTTTGATCTTCTCGACTAGCTTTCAAGAACATATCGATTCCATCCAAAAAATTTTAAATCAGTTACGCAAATCAAATTTAAAGATCCAATTCGATAAGTGTCATTTCGCTGCATTATCTACAAAATTTTTAGGGCATATTATCTCAGCAGAAGGTATTAAACCAGATCCAGATAGAAGCAATAAACTCAATAAAATTACCTGAAAATGAGAAAGAAATAAAACAATTTTTGGGAATCATCGGTTATTACCGCAAATTTATTCGCGATAATGCAAAGGTAGTTTTTCCAATGGTAAAATATTTGAAACAAAATGCAGTTCTTGATATTAAAGACAAAGATTACATGAATTCGTTTGAAATCTTAAAGAAAATATTATTAAATGATCCCGTTTTACAACCACCAGATTTTAATGAAAAATTTATTTTAACCACGGATGCGTCTCAATTTGCTATATGTGCTGCATTGAGTCAGAAAAATCACACAATTTGCTACGCTTCACGGACTTTATCTGACCATGAAATAAGATACACAACTATTGAAAAAGAACTTCTTTCTGTTGTTTGGGCAGTAAAATATTTTCGAACGTATTTGTATGGGAGAAAATTTTTAATACAAACGGACTATAAGCCGTTGACATGGCTACATAATATAAGAGAACCAAACATGAAATTGCAGAGATGGAAGATTCTTCTTAACGAATATAACTTTGATATTTGTTATATTAAAGGAAAAGATAATAAGGCTGCGGACGCATTAAGCAGATATTTAATAAAGGAAGGAAATGACAAAAAAGTAGAAATTTTTAATAATGAAGCAAAAGTTATATTAAATAACGAGGAGGATATAGACCGTTGCTCTACTGCTGCCACTGTTCATAGCGCTGCTGAGGATAATTTAAATTATATATTTATAACCGAAAAGTCAGTTAATTACTATAAAAATCAAATATTTTTAAGCTATGGGGAAAATGAAAAATTTTGTACAAAAATTGTTAATAAAAAGTGTCAAAATCATGTTATAATAAATAGAAATTCTAACTTGAGATTATGGGTAGGGTACTATTGAGTGAAGGCATAATGTGCATATATTGCGAGGACGATTAACTTTTCTTAAAGTTTTAGGACATTTACGGAAAAAATTTTCATAAAAGTAACCTAATTTTGTACCGATCAGTTATACAGTTGATAGAGATAATAGACAAAAATGAGATTTTGACTTTAATTGAAAACGAACATTGCCGTAACAATCACAGGGGAATTCAAGAAGTTTTTTACGAATTAAGAAATAGGTATTTTTATCCGAAATTTTACAGGATGATAACTTCAGTAATTAACAACTGTGAAATACGTCAACTCGCTAAACATGATAGAAAACCTTTAAAAGTGCCATACCAAATAACTACAACACCAACTCAGTTTAATGATATTGTTCATATTGATATTTGGTACCCTAACAGAAATCGTATGTTTTTGACCACAATAGATAAATTTTAGAAATTTGCAACTTTTCATAAAATAAATGACAAAAATTGGGTTGCTATTTTAGATGCGTTAAAAAAGCGCATACAGTTCCTAGGTAAAATGAACAATGATACATAGTGCAGTTGCTTTGTTCCTAAAAAAAAATAATATTGAATTTCTCAAAACTACACCATTTTTAAAAACTGTCAACTCCGATATAGAAAGATTGCATGGTATATTAAAAGAGGATTTGAGGATTATGGAGGTTGATAAGGAGAACAAAAATCTGGAATTAGATGAAAAACTGTTCAAAATATTTAATATATGTATATAATAATACAATTCACACTACCACAAGGAAACGACCTATCGATTTTATAATAAAAAATTACGACAAAGATTATATAGATAACTTCAGTAAAAAGTACGAGGAAGATAAAATAAGCGAATAAAAAAACTAAATCGCGATAGAGCTCAAATAATTGGCCAACAAGATAATATAGTTAAAAACAGGCGAATTCCAAAAAGTAAGCCAAAATTTAAACAACTTGAAAACTTTGAGAAGGAAGGTAATTATATCTTTGATACATCCAAGGAACAGAAAACAAAATATTATAAACACAGTTAAAAAGAAAATATAAATTTCAAAACACTAAATGAATTATAACACATTTTAATTTTTTCCTAAGTTTCAATATACATATGTACATATTTTAATTTTATTTGTTTTTGTTATTTTATGGCCTTATAACAATTATATTCAACAATTTTTATTGAGCTCGAGGCCGTTTTTAATGAAAAACTTATTGTGGAAAAGCAACAATAATTTGAAATAAATAAAATAAAACACTTTTTAATATACAACGCTTTTATAAATGGACTAAAAAGTAGAAAATAATATATCTCAGTCCCACAGAATTTGTTTTGATAACTTTTGATTTTGAAATTTTAGCAAAAGTCATTATAAACAATTAATGACATTGAAAACGAAAAACGTGGGGCGCATGTGAGTGTAAATCGTAGCGGAATAGCTGCGCTTGATTGTTTGGCTTAGCAAATGAAAAAGTGGGAAAAAAGCAACGATAATTTACAAGGCTAACTTAGCACAGTGCGTAGGCAACTGGCTGAGTCAGTGGGATCGGTTCGAATCCTACTGAAAGAAGTCTGATGAGGAAATTTGGTGATTTCCGAAATAGCTATCACTTCTACTATTTTTTCAAATTATTGTTGCTTTTCCACAATAAGTTTTTCATTAAAAACGACCTCGAGCTCAATGAAAATTGTTGAATATATTTTAATTTTAAATAATAGTTTTTAAAGTTTTTATGTACTTTAAATTAATTACCTATGTATACAAACCAATTTTACTTCAATTGCTTTGATCCTAAAATTCACTAATTCTTAATTTTTATTGCTACTTATGTTCATAGTTATAATATCTAGTCAAGTTTAGTTTTATTTCAAATATCCTGTGAATGCTTGCAGAGACGCAAACGTCCACGGGTGGAGGAGTTATTTATTACAGGAGTAGTTCTGCGAGCCACTGTTAATTAACATAAGATTAACAGTAATGTATCACTTTTGGCTCTCTTAACATAGCTATAAGTTTACTTTTAAGTATGAAATTAGTGAGTTGTAAAGTTAAAGGCACTGAATAAAGACCAAAACAGCAACATTCCGTCTACTTGATTTTCATATATTAACAAGTCATTTTTAAGCAGAAAAGAAAACCGACTTCAATTCTCATATAAAAATATATATGTGTATTTCATTATATAATTATCGGATCTAAACCAGATTAGTACGGGACCACCTCTGAGATACTACCTTTCCGATGCAAAAACAATTATCGCGGTCCAAAGTTATGCGATAACATACATCAAAAAAAAAAAATATTCCGACGAACTGATAACCTCCTCCCTTTTTGGAAGTTGGTTGAAAATAGATTATTTACTTCTCCACTTTACATTTTTTTGTTGTCGTTGCGTTGGCTCGACCCTATTAAGCTGGCATTTCAGGGTACTATTTTATATATGTATAAGGAAAATTTGAAAGTTAGGGAGGGGCTCGAGCACCCCCCTGCCTCTACCTGGCTACGCCCATGGTTTTACCTATGCCATCATTGTTATTGGCTTATCCAGATTTGTTCGGCCAGCTAAAAATTTCTCCCATCTTAATTTTCAGAAACGCCAAGCTGAGTGCCAACACCATCTCGTCGGCATTGAATGCCCATGGCTTTAGCGACATACCGGTGGCTAATGGTGGAGTTGCAACGCAGAATTCTGTTCCGGTAAGCATGCCAATATACTAACTACATGCGTGTATACATACATAAAAACTTTTTAGTCATATTTTGTCGTAACTGAAACCGCCCTTTAACACATACGAGGACTACATATGTACATACATATATACAAGAACACACCAAAACACGCGAAAGAACAGGCATAAAACAACTGCAATTTCTCACTTTAAACTCGAGAATTGAGCTCATTTTCATGGCTTCCATTTGTATAATTCTGCCCACTTTTTGCATACGCTGCAACTTTGCTACTGCATTTTTGCATTGCTTCAATATACACATAAGTATATATGTATGTTAGAGTGGTTAAAAATTTTTTTTTTTAAATTCATAAACGCTACCTCAAATTATTGTTATTTGTGATAAAAAAGAGAAGCGTGTTTTTTATTTTGAAAAAAAAAATCTTAGAGGTCGCGCTGGTCGGTTTTTTATAAAAACGCTGATGTTCTCAATTTTTTATTTTCTTGACATGTTAAAATGCAGCTAAAAATGTGGTTTTTACATATAATTACTGTGGTATTATTGGGGAACATTCCCTTAATTACATACCGGTCTTGGTCGGTTAGAATGGGCCTAGTGCCCAAAAATATGCTCTCGAAAAGAGACTAGTAAAATTAAAACGTTGATACTGAACGATTTACGCGTTGTTACCAGGGGGTTTCTGGGGTTGCTAATTAGGAATCTGAAGTCAGTTTTTCAAAATTCAAAATGGAGGATCCAAAATGGCGATCCATTTTTCAAAAAAAAAATGTTTGGATTTGTTAGAAAACCGGCACTCGAGAGTTTTTGGGGTTGCCCGTTATGAATCTGAATTCAATTCTTTTTAATTAAAATAGCGGATCCAATATGGCGATCAAATAATTAAAACGTTGATACTGAACGTTTTAAACATTGTCAAGGGTTGAAACTCGTTTCCAGTGGGCGGTTACGAGTTTCAAACAAATCCAATCATTTTTTTTTAAGTTGTTCGCCATTTTGGTTCCACCGAATTTTGAAAATATGACATCAGATTCATAATCAGCAAGCTCAGAAACCCACTGGAAACGAGTTTCAACCCTGTTGAAAGCTTAAAACGTTCAGTATCAATGTTTTAATTGTAGTAACTTTTTTTTTATTTGGTCGCCATATTGGATCCGCCATTTTGAGGTTTCAAAAAATTGACTTCAGATTTGTAATCGGCGACCCCAAAAACTCTCGAGTGCGGGGTTTCGAACGAATCCAACTGTTAAAAAAAAGATGGATCGCCATTTTGGACTTTGAAAAACTGACTTCAGATTCCCAATTAGCAACCCCATAAACCTCTGGAAGAAAGATCCAACTCATGACAACGCGTAAATCGTTCAGTATCAACGTTTAAATTTTACTAGTCTCTTTTCGACAGCATATTTTCAGGCACTAGGACCATTTTAACTGACCAAGACAGGTATGTAATTAAGGGAATGTTCCCCAAAAATACTACTGGAATTATATGTAAAACTTCTTTTTTTCAAAATAAAAGATATACATGTATCTTTTTTACCACAAATAAGAATATTCTGATGTAGCGTTTATGAATTTTCAAAAGAGTGTTTTTGTGAACCACTCTTATGTATGTATAACAGATGCTAGCATACATATGTATGTAATTGTTCATATAATAATATATTTAAAAATAATAATATAAAAGATAAAATAAAAATGAAAAAAAAAATACATCTTTTGGGCCGCCTATAGTTTTGGAGTGGAGGATATCAACAGTGCGCGAAAAGCACCAACGGATTTAAATGAACTGACTGAATGTTAGTACTAGGGATGTTGCGATACTACTGATATAATTTTGGTATCGATACTTTGGTTTAGATACAGAGTAAATCGGTATTCGATACTAAGGTGACGATACTATTGATGCGCATATGGGTATTTTCTTTCGATACTGCTTAATGTATCATAATAACATCAATATAATTATCATTTCATACAAGCCATACTGCTCCTAGAATTCTATTTAAGTATATTTCCTGATTAGTGACTCTATGTTATCGTTGGTGCGAAATTTTATTTCCTATGCTCATTGGATACTAGTATCGATACTTGTATGGCACCGTACTGTATTCAAACCGTATAAACACAGTACATATACAGCGTGACGACATTGATTTGTTTTTATACCCAAGCGCACTTGTGCACAAGGGAATATTAACTTTGTTCACATAACGGTTGTTTGTAACAGCCAAAACGAATCGAGATAGATATAGACAAATGCATACATAAATGCTCAGAATGAAAAGAGAGAGAAAAGAGCTATGTCCGTCCGTCTGTCCGTCTGTCTGTTCGCGTACACGATAACTCTAGAAAAAATTGAGATATCTCAAGGAAATTTTGCATGTGGGTTTCCATTTATCCAAGGTAGGTTGGTATTGAAAATGGGCGAAATCGGACTGTAACCACGCCCACTTACCATATAACGGTAATTTTCAGGAATCCGAAAACTGCGATATTTTAGTAACTCCTGAAGATTATTCACTCAAAATTGATATTTACAATAATTTTTAGACGTAAAATAAGAATATTATAAATTTTTGGAAAATGGACTTAGTCACGTCCACTTATGGTTACATGTGTATATCTTGGTAACCGCTGCACCAATTTCTTCNGGACAATAACCACGCCCACATCCCATATAACGGTAATTTAGAGAAATACAAAATCTTCGATAAATCAGTAAATATTAAAGCTAATTTATTCAAAATTGATGCTTGCAACAATTCTTTACCAAGAAATACGTTTATGGTAAAATTTTGGAAAATGGGCGTGGCACCGCTCACTTATGATCATATATATGTATCTCGGTAACCGTTCTACCAATTTGTACCAAAGCAAAACGTTGAAAATTATTGAAATCCGACTAAAATTACGGCCGCTTTTCATATAACGGTAAATTTCAGAAATGCTTGAAACTTCAATATTTCGAAATTTAATGACGCTAATTTACTCAAAATTGATACACCCCGGCTTACCATATAACGGTAGCTTTCGGAAAGGTGAAAAACTTATATTTAATACTTGCGCCGGGTATTTAATATTCGGCTCTTCCCGAACTTAGACTTTCTTACTTGTTATTTCTGTTTTCTGCTTTTACGCAGAAAACTAAAGTATGGAATCGCATTACCAAGACTGAAAAAGGTTCGGTTTACTTCGTGCAACGTTTGTTTGAAAAATCTGACATTTTCGTACATAGAACAAATGTAAAGAAAGATTTACTGATTTTCTGATGAAATCGAGCTAGTTTTTATATTTTGTTTATTGCGCTGTGTAGTTGTTAAAGATTTCTTATTAATTTTCATTAACTGCATCATTCATATTAAATATATCAATATTGTGTATCAAAAGGATAAAATATCGATATTTTATTTCAGATACCACTACCAATACTTGTATCGATACTTAGCTTCTGATACATAATTTGATACTGGTATCGATACTTTTATGGTATCGCAACATCCCTAGTTAGTACTAAATATTATACTGTTTATGATTGTGCATCACAATTTGGGCCGGTTGGTCAATGTCTGGTTATCACTACCTCCCAGTTAAACATAATTTTCGACGATTTCGACATAATGCATATAACACGTGATCGATAAAGCAGTCGTTGTATTTATCTGGAGCTTTTACCTCTGATTTTGGTTAACCAGACATTGAACAACCGGCCCTTAGAGTGCGATGTATCAAAAGTGGTTATCATCCTTGGGCCGATTAGTTATATCTTTCAATAAAATTCTTTAGTGTTAAAGTATATGGGCAAATCTAAAAAATAGGTAAGCTTTAAAAAAAAAATTTTGTTTCTTAATTTGTGAGCACACCTATGTTTTATATATCATTTTATTCGTAATCTCTTAATAAATTGGTTAATATAAATGTAGTTCATTTTCATCAAGTGCTTCTAAAGTTAGACGAAGCATAAACATGAAATAGAAAACGAAATAATAAGCTGGGTTCAAATTGCGCTGTTCAAGTTGTAAATTTTAAGCAAATATTTTAAAAGTTGAGCTCATTTAATTGGGACGTTCTAAGTTCTATGGCATCCCCCGTTTTACCAGATTGGCTCCGGTTTTTGAGATAACGGTACTTGAAAGTTTGATTAAATTTTAACTATGTTATAAATAACTCCCTCAGTTTTGAAGTTATTTTATNTCGCCCACATCCCATATAACGGTAATTTAGACAAATACAAAATCTTCGATAAATCAGTAAATATTAAAGCTAATTTATTCAAAATTGATGCTTGCAACAATTCTTTACCAAGAAATACGTTTATGGTAAAATTTTGGAAAATGGGCGTGGCACCGCTCACTTATGATCATATATATGTATCTCGGTAACCGTTCTACCAATTTGTACCAAAGCAAAACGTTGAAAATTATTGAAATCCGACTAAAATTACGGCCGCTTTTCATATAACGGTAAATTTCAGAAATGCTTGAAACTTCAATATTTCGAAATTTAATGACGCTAATTTACTCAAAATTGATACACCCCGGCTTACCATATAACGGTAGCTTTCGGAAAGGTGAAAAACTTATATTTAATACTTGCGCCGGGTATTTAATATTCGGCTCTTCCCGAACTTAGACTTTCTTACTTGTTATTTCTGTTTTCTGCTTTTACGCAGAAAACTAAAGTATGGAATCGCATTACCAAGACTGAAAAAGGTTCGGTTTACTTCGTGCAACGTTTGTTTGAAAAATCTGACATTTTCGTACATAGAACAAATGTAAAGAAAGATTTACTGATTTTCTGATGAAATCGAGCTAGTTTTTATATTTTGTTTATTGCGCTGTGTAGTTGTTAAAGATTTCTTATTAATTTTCATTAACTGCATCATTCATATTAAATATATCAATATTGTGTATCAAAAGGATAAAATATCGATATTTTATTTCAGATACCACTACCAATACTTGTATCGATACTTAGCTTCTGATACATAATTTGATACTGGTATCGAT